TCTACATAAAAATTTGAAAGCGACTATTTTGCGACTTTTATCTTTTAAAAAAAAACAGACATTGTTTGTCCGCAGTTGGCATGTTGACAACACTAGCTTTGTTTCTGTTTCACTCCAGAACTAGTTCGGAATCATTCTGCACATGCGTATATTATAAAACGCGTTCTCGTTTTTTCAGAATCGTAATCGAACTGTGTTGACACTGTTTTGGTTTATCTAGAACTAACTAAAGTGTTTTTTTTTAAGATAAAAGTCAAAATGACATTATGTTGGCAATACAATCCTTGCGTTTCTTAAAGAGCAGAGCGTGCTGAACGGAGCCGTGATAACGTGACCAGCGAGCGACCAGAGCAGTTGAACGCTGTAACGGAGTGCCCGAAGGATAACGCACACCTAAAGCCTAGTACTCAAAACTGCGAAATTCGCATTTTTTTGACATTGCTTCGACAATTTGACGTTTGATACACGCATAAAACGTCAAATTGTCAACGCAATGTCAAAAAAATGCGAATTTCGCAGTTATGAGTACTAGGCTTTAGGTGTGCGTTATCCTTCGGGCACTCCGTTACAGCGTTGGCTTAACATGGGATTTTTGGGCTCTATGGATTTTTCCCATTTTTTGATATGTTGTAGAGGATTTAATTCTGAACAACCTTTAAATAGGTCGAAATCTTGTAGGTATTACGTCCTTTGAGATATGAGCGTTGAAAGATTAACTTTTTTGCAACTTTTTGTGTAGAGAGTATACAAGATACTGGTGCTACTGGTGTTTATCAGTCAAAATATTGACAGGTTCACATATTTTACGTCACTTAAAAATTATTGTCAACATAGGTTAAGGCCGGGACCGCACTAGGGTCAATGTTGGCGCCACTGCGGTCCCGGCCTTAGCTTATGTTGACATTTGTTAGTGACGTAAAATATGTCGACCTGTCAAAATTTTGACTGATAAACACCAGTTTTTCGTATACTCTCCACACAAAAAGTTGCCAAAAAGTTCATCTTTCAACGCTCATATCTCAGAGACCGTAATACCTACAATATTTCGTCCCATTTAAAGGTTGTTAAGAATTAAATCCTCTACAACATATCAAAAAATGGGCAAAATCCATAGAACCCAAAAATCCCATGTTAGGTGTGCGCTATCCTTTTAAAGCGTTTTCTTGCGAGGCGAATGGTTCGAACTACGATTTAGGACGGGTATTATAAAACTACTTTGAGAATTAACTTAAAGTTAACTTCGGGAATTACATGTAATTCAAAAAGTTAACTTCAAGTTAACTGTCAAAGCAGTTTTATAATACCCGCCCTTAAACTAATTTATGGATGACGCCATCACTAGTGAACACGAGAAAATGGAAGGTTTGAACCACATTCTTATGAGAGAGAACGAGCCAGAAGTCAGGTTCAATGTGACGTCACTGGTTCAACGCAAGAGTGTGCCGCTTCAAACCTATTTGGAACGGATCGAACCAGCTCCATCAGCTCAAATCTGTGCTACAAATTGCTCAAAAATCGGTTCCGAACTCGTTTACTGTCAAATGAAACCTTGAACTAGATCACAAAATCTTAATGTAAGTGCCCTGGAACACATCAAATTTACTCTTTTTTATTTGTAGTTCATTTAGAACCGGTTCTAGATCGACTCTGAACTGATTCTAATTTGACTGGCTTGTTCAAACTTAGTTCAGAATCAGTTCTGAATTGAACTGTGCTTACGCATTTGTTCATATTGAACATACATTCTGAACAAATCCATTATTGTTACGATGTTCCGAACACATTGAATTGTTCGCAGTTTCTTTAGAGCCAGTTCATATAATTTTTGAACTGGTTCTCAGAGTTCCGAGTAGTTCGATTGCTGTTCTAAACTAGAGAAAATCACGAACAAAAAAAAATAGTTTATTATTATACGGAGACGGTGCACGAGAATCCTAAATTAGTGTCCTGGATCACATTAACAATTCATTCCGACTGCTACAATTGCTGTTCCCAATTCGAAATAAACTACACTGAATTGTAATAGAGCACACCGATTGTTCGTAATTCAATTAAAACCGGTTCCAAATAGATTTTGAAGTCTTGAACTGGTTCACAATCGAGCAATCTTTAATTAGGTGTTCTAGATCATTGTTCATGGCGCAACTAGAATCACTTCCAAACAGGGGCGGATGGGCTCAGGCGGGACTCCGGGACCATTCCCGGTGGCATTTTTGTATCGAGCGCCCAGTATACCGCATTCGGACATTTTTGAATTATTGTGTTAGCCATTCTTCCAATGACATTATCATCTGTATACTTTTTTCTCCAAAAAAAACACCTATTTTTTGAAATATGTTAGAACGATTTAAAAATCGAATTTTTAAAGCAGATAAAAATTAACAAGATTTTTGCTATTTACTTAGGGATTTGTATACCTGCAATCGTTATTTGACAAATGCGGAGATTAGATTCAGGCAGATGTAAATAATTATTTATGATGCTGTCTCTAAGTAACAAAACTAACCAAAACTAACCCAAATTGGAGCTGAGCAAAAGGTTAAGGTAAGGACAGCCTTAGGGTTAGTTTGGGATAGTTTGTTAGAGACAGCATCAAATAACTAGGCAAATAGCAAAATCTTATTAATCTTTAAGTTTTTTGCTACTTTCCATTCCACTTAGTGAACTACTAGAATTAAAATTGCTTTACGATTTGACTACCAGAACCAAAATTAAACTAATACATATTATCAAGTAGCTTAATGGTGAGGAGCCAGGAAAACTCAAAAAGATATTCGAGACTGTAGTCGCGAGTATCGAGCATACGGTAGTCCGAGTGATTTTCGTACTACCGTGCGCTTGATACGTGCCGAGGTCGGGTACCCCGAATGCGGGTTGCTGGACGCTCGATACAAAAATGCTTCCCGGTGGGCTGGAGAGCCAAGTGGGCCGGTTTAGGAAAAAATAATATTATTATTTTTTCCTAAACCGGCCCAATATACGATAACAAACAATGCTTGATTGAAAGAAAATCACTCAAGGCGCAGAAAGCGGTTTTGGCTTTTTACCATTTTGCACAAGGCGTAGAGCTGCCATCTAATATTGGAAAATATTTTCAGTAAAATTTACACTTTTTCTGTAAACACACTTTCTCTGTTTAATCAGACATTACCTGGGAGTCTTCCAAATTCACCGATAGTAACCCGTTAAGTACGAAATTTTAATCAGACATAATCAAACTTATCAATAATAACTCGGTTAGTTTGTGTTAGTTTGGAATTGTAATCAGACACATTACCGATAATAACCCGGTTAGTTTGCAATTTTACTAAGATATTTTCAAACTTACCAATACTAACCGCGGTTAGTATGGGTTAGTTTGCAATTGTAATCAAACGTACCGATAAATAACCCGATTAGTTTGGGCAACTTTGCAATTTTGATCGAACATAACCATCATGTTTTCAAAATTTGTGTTAGTTTGCAATTTATTGTAATCAAACATTACCAAACTCAAACTTACCAAGAATAACCCGGTTAATTTGGGTTAATTTCGAATTTTAATCAGACATTACCAAACTTAAAAATAATAATCCGGTTAGTTTGGGCATGGTTCAAGTTCAAAATTATTGATTTTCCAAAGAAGTTATTGAAAGTCAATATTTTCCAAATGGTTGATTTTCGAAATGAAAGCATTCGGAAAAAAATCGAAATTTTTGTTTTCGGAAAATGAACATAGACCTGTACCTTATGTCTGAATAAAATTGCGAACCAACCCCAATTGCGGTAAATATGGTAATGTCTGATTATAAACAGAAAAAGTGTAAACTTTAACATATTGAATAGTTATTTACCTAACAAATGCGGAAAGTGATACTTTACCGCACGCAACGGCAGTTGACCGAACGACGCGGAGCGGAGTTCGGTCAAGCCGTTAAGGGTAAAATATTTTACAATATCTGTATGGCTATACGCTATACGCTTTCGTATTTTTGAGTAATAAAGGTAGGTTTTTTATTTCTATAAAAATAGATTATTTAATACCCTATTTTTAAACACTTTTTTGCAAAGGAAAAATGTTTGGGTATATTCGCCTCCAGCGTTACACATCCCCCCACGGGGCTGCTTCAGCAAAAACTGTCCCGGGCTGAATTAAAGTTGCCCATCCGCCCCTGCTTCCAAATCACTTTTATTTGTTCTTAAGCCCAAAAACCTGTTCCGAACTCGTTTGCCTTTTTACTCTTCAATATTCGAACTCACTCTATTTACTTCAAAGAAGTAAAAAAATATAATCCCAAACGATTTGCTTACTCAGAGCACTCGAATTATGGTAAATAGGGTAATTATGTTTATGTTTGAGTATAGGGAGGAAAATGAATACAACAAACCTACTCTATTTACTCTAAAACAGTAGTACGAGTAAACAGAGTTATATTTAGTGCACTAAATCGAGAATCTCGGACCAAATGGAGTAACTGCTAACGTTACCCTATTAGTTTCGAACATAAAAAAACCTACACTGGATCCAGAGTTCTCTATCAATCAAAGGTACAGGTTCGAATCGGATTGAACAAGTTCCACCGCGAAAAAACATCTTTAATGAACGAACGCAAATGAGCCTGCACCGAGTACACTTTTCAAATAAACAAACGGTAAATTCAACCTCGGAGAACTCAGAGCAAAACACCGAACGCACGGAATGTAAAATAGTCGCTTTCAAATTTATTATGTTGAAAAGGCTTGTGTTGCCAACATAGCTACTAAATTTTTGACTTTGGGAATTATCTTTAAAAAAACAGACTTTAAGAACAATTATGGGATTGTTCTAGAACGGTTCTCTAAGTACTCGCTCTGAAGGAAGAACTGTTTCAGAATAATTTTGTGATTTGCGGCGTGTTTTGTTCCGAATCGCTTCAGAACTAGTATTAGAACAGTCCTCTATTATTTTTTGTCCGCAATCCCAGAACCGTTTCAAATTTCGAACCAAAACACAGCTATATGACTCACAGCGATTTCCATTTGTAGAATAAGTGGTGCAAAAGAAATATATCCCTATCCTTATATGTTACATGCTTTTAGAAAAAGACACGGATACACTCAGTGCGCACTGATTGACAAATTAAAATCGCCAACAGTAAACTAACCTCAAAAAATAAAAAATACCGTTTGTTATCCAAAGGTCTATGATTGTTGTCAACGATTTTTTGTTTGTTTGGTTTGATAGCTTTTCGAAATTTCGAAATTTGAAATTTTTCTCAAAGTCAAGCTTAACATCGCAATGAATAAAGAGAAGGTTAAGAAAACGTTGGTAAGAAACCCAGAGCGACCAAAGACCAGTACTGTCAGTGCTCCCCAACTAACAAATTTGGCCAATGGAGAAGTTGTAGAACCGGAAACAGTATCAACTAAAACTGAACCGGATCCAAATCCCAGATTCGATGCGCCCGAAATGCACAGTACTTTGAAACTATCGAAGAAAATCGACGAAATCGTTAAACCGTCGATCAGACAAACAAAAAGCTTGACCGATATGGATAAAATGAAATTGGCTGGAAGCGACAGAGTAATTCACTCAATAATATCCAATAATAGTTTAATAAAATATTATTTTAATTTAAGATTGCAAGACAAGTCAACTTTCGCCATGACCAAACAGTATTTAAAGATCTCATTCCATTAGGCGATAAAAACGAATTTGAAACTGAGCTCATTACTGATACAATAGACGAAGACTCGGAAGAGGAAGAACTTGACCCCGAACCAAATTTTGCAGATTTTGCTGTCCGTGATGAAAAAGTAAACGAAAAAATCTATCTTTGCATGCCAGAAGCTACCGTGAGTGGCTGGGAACAGAATTATGAAGATTGTAATCCAATTGATGGACTGAGATTGTATAAGATAATGCAGGGTTGGTATCGTGCAAGCCTCGATCCAAACTCAAACTACAGAAGTGGGTTAGTCAAGAAAAAATTAAATATTACTCAATAAAAAATTAAAGCTGTAAATAGTAACTACACCAAAATATATTATAACATACAAACAGCAAAAAATGGTTTGACTCATTAGTACTTTGCTGAAGTTTTTTCACAACAGCCTCCGGATTCTGTTTTGCTAGTCAAGTTGAATCCAACAGCTCCAGGCCTACCGTGTCAAACGTATCGAAAAATAAAATCGCTATTCTGATAATTCAATGTGAATTTCGACTCGACTTGTAAAATAGAATCCCGCCCCAGGTTCATCAGATTTTGAAAAGGTTTGAAGTAAAACACTGAAATTTCAAATTAATCCAACATAAAGGTAGTATAATAATTAAATCATCAAAATTGTAATTTAAATCTTATTGAAAGCAGCAACATCAACAGACTGAACGACATCTTCAAAATCTTGAATTTTTTCAGTCAACTCGTCTACTGAAACTTTGGCATCTTCAATGACGCACATAATTTGCAATTTTTGAATACCATAGCCCACAGGGACGAATTTCGAGGCTCCCCACAAAAGCCCCTCCATTACAATAGATCTAACTTGCTTTTCCATTTCTTTCATATCGGTTTCGTCGTCCCAAGGTTTAACGTCTAACACTATGCTGGATTTAGCAATGAGTTCTGGTTTCTTGGATTTCTTTTCAGCGTAAGCCTTAAGACGTTCTTCCCGGATTCTGGCTGCATCTTCATCTTCTTCGTCAGAAGCGAAAAGATCGACGTCGTCGTCATCGGCAGCAGCTGCTGGAGCCGTAGTGGTGCTCCCAGCTTTCAATGGGGACGCCCCAAAGTTTTTGAGCTCGTCGGCACTGAAAGATTTGATGTGGTTGTACCAACGTAGGGCGTGGGGCTGACCTACTGCTGGGGCTTTGGCTAGCTGGTTCAACGCATCAACATCGGCTTGGGACGGTTGGAATCTATATTTTAAAGATAGAACATGTTGGAATTCTAACCTATATGTGGCAAGATTGGTGAAATCGATGGGAAATGGTGCTTACCCTTTGATGTAACTTTTGTCTTCTAGGAACTTGTTGAGTTCGTTAACTCCTTTGTCGGTTTTGAGGTCTCCAAAAGCCATTTTTAGTTGATATTTCGACAAAAATTACCTGCACCACTTCAACAGCTGCGAAAATGCCAATAAAAAGATAGTTGGCTGTTGGCTTTGACACTTTTATATATTTGACGTTAAAAATGACACACGAGTTGGATAATTGTTCGGAGTTAACTGTTCTAGAACCGGTGGTGCGTACAATAGGGAACTTGCACTTTTTTTTTTTATTTCAAAAATGTGTTGTACTACACTAAAGACATAGTCTTGCAAAATATCAAGCATTAAAAATCAGCCGTTAATTTTTTATAAATATTTGAAGTTACGCTCGAAACATCGCCGCATTTGAAACGACCGATTAGTGTGACGTCACTCAGCAACAAAATTCCGTTCACAGTCCTTGGTTGAGAGTGACCTGCGAGCAGGTAGATTTAGATTATGGTTATGTTGTTATGTATGCCGTTTATGATAGATTTGACATTGACAACACCAGCAGCACATGGCGTGAAAGCGGTGCGACCCGATTATTACTGCCCTTTGACGTCAGGACCCATAGAAATACGTTTTTGATCTCGTCAAAAATTTCGAATTATTTGGTATTTTCAATTGAAGATTTTGAAAACCAGAAATAAGATATTATATCCTTTTCCTAATTGCATCATTTATTAGGATGATTGTTATTGTATTTTATTATTTATTTCATATTTAAAATAATGTGCAAGTTCCGTATTTGTCTGAACCGGTTAGCGTTAGTGCAGTGCAGTTATTTGCAATTTTTATTCAGGTGATCGCAGATTAGAAAAGTGTTGAAATTTCGGTTGAGTATAAAAAGTTGGAAACCATCTAAACTACACCGGGAATATGGAACGCTAAACGGTACGAATGGTGTAAAAAGTGTGACATTAATGACGTGTCAAGGTAAAAAGTGTCGGTAGTTGGACTTATCGTACGCACCACGGGCGGGATGTGCAGTGTGTACTGTGATCCTGTTCGTTTTAGCTCTCCCTGAGTTTTGTCTTTTGCGTTGGGTTCATGACCGCGTATGACGTCACGACATCCATGCTCATAGCATACCTTTCCACTCCACTCCGTGAGCTAGGTTCGGCTATTCAGCACGGAGTTGGAGTGGAGTAAGAACAGATTTTTGTCACGTGATCCAGGAGTGATTAGAGTGAAAAATAGTGACAAAAATGTCAAACAGCTGATTCGTTCTGTTCCAAAATAACAGTCAACCGCCGTGAACTTAAAATCTGTTTTTTTTTAAAGATAATTCCCAAGTCAAAAATTTAGTAACTATGTTGGCAACACAAGCCTTTTCTACATAAAAATTTTGAAAGCCTTGACTATTTTACATTGTATTGCCAACATAATGTCATTTTGACTTTTATCTTTAAAAAAAAACGCACTTTACAACATTCCATTTCCAATTTTTTTTTCTCTTTTGTCTTTGGTCTTTCGTGTACTATAAATTAACTTCAATTCCTCCACAATAATGAATAATTACTGTATAGAGAGATATCGGTAACCCAAATAGTGTGTTGCAGTATTAGCGCCTACGTTATTTTGACAAACCTATGCGTGATTCGATTTTTAACACTACGTACCAAAATAACGTTACCGCATAACGTAATTTACCCAGCATTTACGTTAAGCGCTATCTCGAATAACGCCTAGAAATAACGCAGTGGAATAATATAGGTTATGTTATATTTATTGTTTTTGTTTATTTTATTATTTTTGTTGTGTTCAAGTGAATATGGATTGTTCAAAAAATAGTAAAAAAGCAAATCCTCTCTCCCTGACCATAAACAACAGACAACACAAATCAAATCACAACAAGCTACAAATAGGCTACGGTTATAAAATAACGGATCCGAACAGGCAAATTTTACGTTAAACTGTTTTCCGATAACTGTAATTTAAAAGTATAATACCGCTACACGTAAAAAAAATAACTCCTGACGTTATTACCGTCCATACGCGGTATCTGATTCACCAATATCTCCTAATTTCTTTTACCCGTTGAGCTACTCGGAGCTGCTCAATCAGCTCAATGTCAAATGAACGTTCCTTTTAAAAGTGCGTTAAGCACTCGAGTCGCTCATTGACGATCATAGTCCACCCCCGTTCCCCCTGATGCACCAAATTTGCGGGGGGTGCAAGAAGCTCTTTTAGGTAATGACGGTAATGTTAATGGAGAGATATTGCTCGACAAAAAACGTCATGCGCTAATAACGCTTACGGTATTTTGACGTTTATTGGATGCGCGATTCGCTTTTTTACGTGTCTTCCGCTATTAGGGTTAGCGCTTCGGGTTATTTATGCTTACGTACCGTTGGGCGCTATTCAAAATACCGCACAATATTGACATGACAACTGACAACTCCTACTTCGATTTTTCTCTGGAGAGGTTAGGATTTTTGTTTATTATTTATTTCTTTGTGTTATGGGTTAGGGTTTTGGGTGCCAACTCAAGTTCTCACTTCTGAGTTTGTGTTTTGTGGCAGCTTGTTTGGTTTGTATGTATTATTTTAAACAAAATGTCCCTTGGAACTGGTGTTGGTGTTCCCTCGGTGGGTCCAATAAAGCCAAAAGACGGACCGAAGAGGTTAGAGATAGAGATATTGAGTTCCAGCCCTGGAATCTTGAAATGAATAACACTAACCTCTAACAGAATTACGGGTTGAAGTATGAATTGCTTGAGGGATTCTTAGAGCTTCTGCCAATCTATAGATATCTTGCCTCTCAAATCGAAAATTATTTTTCACATCTTCTTCCTGCATATTATCCAAATCAAATTCAATATTAATATTAGGGTTTTGAAGGACTTCTCCTTGGTTTTGCTCCACTCCTAGTATATGGTGCAAAATCACATACTCAATAGCATTCTCGTTAGCCCCAGCTAAGATCACCGCCTCAAGATCTTCCTCCATCATAAGGTATGTAGGTACCTCTATCACAGTTTTTCAATTAACTACTTTTTTTTGAAATCTGATTTCTGAATCAAAAATCAACAAACAAAATAAACAAAAAAGTCAGGTTATAGGTTGTATCGAAACATTTGACATTTTGACTTCTACATGAGCGCAGCGCTAATTATAGAAATAACGTGGCAATAAGTTTCATTTTCAGCTTTTATTTATAGCTTGACGTTATGTAATAGCGCGGCGTAAATATCGTAATGCATGCGGTATTGTGATTGGCAATATCTCTCTAATTTTAAAAAATAATAAAATCTAATTGAGTGTTTTGGAGTGACTCTGAGGAGCTCGTTCGGTGTAACTCGATGTATAAAAGGAATACAGTAAATATGATGCTTATGCCTCTGTTTAACTTTGTCAAGGAAACTTTCCCATCATAAATAAATTTTAAAATCAGATCGATTATTTTATTCGATGATACCAATTCTCGCATCCACATAAAGTCTAGTACTCATAATTGCGAAATTCGCATTTTTTGACATTGCTTCGACAATTTGACGTTTGTTTCACGCATAAAACGTCAATTTGTCGAAGCAATGTCAAAAAAGTGCGAATTTCGCAGTTATGAGTACTATGCTTAAAACAATTTTTAATTTTTTAAACAACCAACAACCACAAGTAACAACACAACAAGTTTGACAGTTTCCATATTGCGCTTCTGCGCATGCTTACTCTAAAAAATTCTCTTTCCGAGGTGGAACTTTTGGAGTAAACTCCATTTACTCCACTCCGTATAGTCGAACCACAGCTTGTCGAACGCTAATGGAGTCACCCCTTATACGCCAAAAAGCACTACCCGAACAGCTGGAGTGCGAATGGAGTCACTCGGAGTACACGGAGTGAGCAAGCCGAACCCACCTGTGAGTGTAAAGCCTAACGTCAATCAGAAAACAGATGTTTACGAAGTAAGGTTATGTCGTTTTAAAAAAATTCAAAAAAATATCCACATCAACATTTAACTTGTATTTGCGAATGCCAGCAACAAGGCCACCAAACCAAATCCAAGGGACAATGGCATCGGATAAGTTTATCGTTAAAATCAACAAAAATTAACAGACAACGTAGCACACATTCCAAAGGCCACCACAAAAAAATCCGTTTCATGGAGAACGCAAGATCAAATTTGTTAAATGAAGACGAAACGGACTGGAGAAAAGCGCTACGCTCTCAGCCAGCTTTTAGAATAGTTAACAAGACGATGAGGAACCAAACTCAATTTATCACTATTATAGGATTGACTGGGTTGTGCGTTTTAATAATTTTGTATTTGTATCCGAAAAAAGGTGGTGGTGGCCTGAAAAGTACATTCAGTGATAGTTTTAGTGCGTCCGGATATAATTATACATATCCTTTGACTAGGCCAATTAAAACTAGTTCATTACATACTTTTAAAATAGGTAAGTTTTTCACAATGATTTGTGATGTGGCAAAATTGTCATGAAATCCATTTTTTAGGTATCATAGCTGATTTAGATACGAAATCGAAAAGCCAAGATGAAAAAACTACTTGGTACTCATATTTAAAAAGAGGGTTTCTTAGTTACAATCCTACAACTCACAGTGTAGTGGTTACGTGGGACCGTTCGCAACCAGCCCAATTGAAAAACAGTTACTCGTTGAAAGACAGGGGCATGGAATTGTCTGAATTACTTGTGTACGATGGTAGATTGTTGACTTTTGATGATAGAACAGGAATTGTATTTGAGATACTTAACGAGGAAAAAGTGGTGCCCTGGATATTGTTAGGTGACGGAAATGGCAAGTAAGTTTTATTTAAACTTATTAGATATTTGCAGTGTACTTATTGCGCCTTTACATTCTCGAGAGCTATGGATGAGTTCCGAGTGGGGAATAGGCGGCTCTGGTACACTTTACGGACACACGAATTTTGCAAAATTTTAAATTTCATGAGAAAGAGGGTCTTCTATAGAGTATTAAAAAAAAAAAAAAATTGCGGATTATCCAGAAGTTTTTGAGAAATCAATTATTTCCGCTCTGTGTTGAGTTGATGCTTGTTCACGTTAAACTACCTAATGTCTGCCCAGCGAGTCTGTGTCTACGGGGCAACGGTAGGGGGAATGCAGTTGTAAAAAAAAATGACTGATTTCATTCATAAAATACCCAGCTGCGTGCGGAATTTTTTGGAAGTGTTATCGTAATGCAACTCGTACACGAAAATCAGCAATGACCAAATCTCCGCCACTGGATATTTCAATATAAATCGATATTCCAAGATGGGAGGATAAAATGACGTGAGCCCTGGCGAGACGTAAGGTGACGTTAGTTTATTGACAATCGTATGGTTCCTCATGACAACGGCGATCCTGCCAAAAACTCCACCAATCAGGTTCATCCAGGACGGATGCTTGCCAAATTGTCAAGAGCTGATGGTATCTTTAGAAAATGTTTATTTTTTACAATAGACCAAACTGAAGAAATCAGGATTAAAATAAGGATAGATCTAACAACCACGTTAAAATATTTAGAGTTTTATTATTGTTATCAATATTTTGGTAATAAAAACTGGATTTTCAAATTAACTATACTTCATCCCTAGCATTTTCGCTTTTTTATAATTAAACGTGGCAACATGGCACATTTACGTCCGAATTCCTTCCGTAGACTCAGATCCACTGGGCAAACAATATAGTCTTTGTATATTATTTTTGTGAAACAAGGAGCAATCTAAGAAAAAAAAAATTTTTAAATTTCAAGGTGTTTATTTAAAAAAGGGTTTTTCACGTTTTTGTAGATTTACGTTTCCGAGGATCTTTTTTTTTGGAGATTTGGCGAGAGGAGCGAGCAATGCAAGAAAAAATAAATAAATAAATTAAATTTCAAGGTGTTATATTTAAGGGTTTTCCCGTTTTTGGTGGATGGTGGATATACGTTTCCGAGGATCTTCTCTTTGAGACTTGGCGAGCGGAGCGAGCAATCCATGAAAAAAAAAACAAAAAAAAAATTAAATTTCAAGGCTATATTTACAAAAGGGTTTTTCACGTTTCCGAGGATCTTCTATTTGAGATTTGGTGAGTGAAGCGAGCAATGGAAAACTCATAAATTATTTAAATTTCAAGGTGTTATAAAGGTTCTGGTGCAGTATAATTACCTCAAAACTAGACATTTTTTCTTTATAGACAGTTAAATTTTATCTCAAAATAGTTTACGGGGACTAGCACACAGTACAAAGATGGGTTAGTTTGCATGTTTCTGATCCGTTTCAATACGGCACAGTATAGTTACTGTTGGTTAAAGTGTACAAATTTCAATAGTTAAATACGTATTATACGCTTTATCATTACTCAATAATGTTTTTTTCGAAAAATAGTTTGAACACTTAGCTCTTCTTTCAGTTCGAATATCTACCACATGATGCTTTTCATGTTTATTGAATTTTTATCTGCTAACCAGAGCGATTGTGATATTAGTCTGATAAGAATAGATATTATATATTGATCTGTGTCAAAGGTCGAGAAGAGGATTCACTCAATATTTATAAAATCCAATTTTTACCTAGTTATTTGCGCCAACATTTTTGATTATAAAATAATAATTTGGGATCAAACTATAAAGAAGAAGCATGATATTTGTGTGAAGGACTTTAACTAAACTGTTACCTTTTTTTCAAGTTTTTCTTTTTTCTTAGGGTTTTTTTCTTTCTAAATGATTATTGAGATGACAGGTTAGTTTCAGTTAGTTTGGATTTACTCTGTTTCGTTTAAAATGCCAACATACTAGCACTTATTACGAGCACGTGCCCAGCTGTTTGGTTTGGTTTGGGTTAGTTAGTTTTCAACAAAATAAAAAGTACATGATCCTAAGATTTTTGGCTTTGAAACTATAATATAAGTACACCACTCCTCACTTTTTGAATTTTGAAATTTTTGCAAATATCGAGGTACTTATAGTGCATCAGTCCCTATTTAAAAAAAGGGTTTTTCTGGTTTTTGGTGGTTTTACGTTTTCGAGGATATTCTCTTTGAGATCCGGCGAACGAAGCGACAGCATCGCGAATATCACATTTTCAACAATTTAATTTTTTTTTTAAATACTGGATAATCCGCATTTTTTATTTACGGTAATTCCCAAAATAACGGAAATCACAAGTTTTTGAAATTACGAAAATTACAACAACTTAGGGAAAATTAGAAAATTCCGAATTTTTTTGGAAATTAGGAAAATTGAAAATTAAAAAATTGAAAATATAATTACTGGAATTACGAAAACATCACGATGGGAAAAGCGCGAAAAATTGCGGGGATAACGAAAATTAACAAGTTTTCTAAAAATTGAAAAAAATAACGGGGAATTAGAAAATAACAAGAATTATCTGAAAAATGACAGGAATTAAAAAATTTCGAAAATCCCCAACAAAAAAAATACGGAAATTACCAACTTTCGAAAATTTCAAAAACTTAGGGGGAATTATAAAACTAACGGATTTTTTTTGAGAAATTACGGAAATTAAAAAATTACGAAAATAATGGGAATTACGAAGATTTCGAGTTTTTCGAAAATTGTAAAAACTAAGGGGATATTATGAAAATAACGAGAATGATCTGAGAAATGACAGGAATTACAAAATTTCGAAAATTCCCAAAATAAAATACGAAAATTAGATGTTTTCGGAATTATCAAAATAACGAAGTTTTCTGAGAAATTACAGGAATTAAAAAATTACGGAAATCTGAAAACTACAAGAATTATTCAAAAATTATGAAAAATACGAAAAAATCACGGGAATTAAAAAAATTGTGACAGTTTTCTAAAAATTACGAAAATAACAAGAATTACAAAAAGTTACGGGATTCACGAATTTTCCGAAAATTGCAAAAACTAAGGAGGAATTATGAAATTAACGAGATTTTTTTGAGAAATGACGGGAATTTGAGAATTCCAAGAAAAAAAAAATACGGGAATTACCAATTTTTGAGAATCACAACAAACTGGGGGCGAATTATAAAGATAACGGAGTTTTTTGGGAAATAGGTACGGGAATTGCAAAATTACGAAAATTTGAGGAACTACAGGAAATATAGAAATTGAAAGAGATAAGGAAAAATCACGGGAATTGCGAAAAAATTACGATAATTTTTGGAAAGTTACGGGATTTATGAAAAAGTTACGGGAATTACGAAAATTACGAGTTTTCCAAGAATTGCAATGACTAAGGAAGAATTATAGAAATAGGGAGAATTATCTGAGAAATTAGAAAATAATGAAAATTCACAAAAAAAAAAATTGAAAATTACGGGAATTACCAATTTTTGAAAGTAACAAAAACTTAGGGGGAATTATAAAATAAGTACCTAACTGAATATTTTGAGAAATTACAGAAATTAAAAAATTACGAAAATCTAAGAAACAACCGGAATTATTCAAAAATTACGGGAATTACAGAAAAATTACGATGAATTTTGGAAAGTTACGAAAAATTAAGGAAGGAAAAAGTTATGGGAATTACGAAAATTACGAGTTCTGCGAAAATTGCAAAAACTGAGGAAAAATTATAAAAATAACGAAATTTATTTGAGAAATAACGGCTTTCGACAATTTTTTTTTCGCAATTTCACCTTCACTTTTCCGCAATTTCAATGTCCAAACTCACTTTCTCGCAATTTTAACAAATTTTTCCGCGAATTTTGCCTCACTTTTCCGTTATTCTTGCCTCATTTTTCAATAAGTATAACCTCATTTTTCCGCGATTTTCGCCTCATATTTCCGCAATTTCAACCTAATTTTTACAAAATCTTTACTTTTGTTTTTCGTATTTATAACCTCATTTTTTCTCGATTTTAACCTTGCTTTTCCGCCATTTTTACTCAACTTTTTCGCAATTCCAACATTTCCAACCTCATTTTTCTGTAATTTTTACTTCTATTTTTCGTAATTCCAACGTCACTTTCCTGCGATTTTGACACTCACTTTTTCGCAATTTTTGAAAAGTTACGGAAAATTGCAGGAATTACGAAAAATTACTGGAATTATAAAAATAAAGAGAATTACAAAAATTATAGGAATTACGAAAATCGCGAATTTTTGAAATTATGAAAATTACAAAACTTGGGGGGAATTTAAAAATAACGAAGTTTTTTAAAAAATTAGGAGAATTAAAAATGGGTACAAAAAATTACGGGAATTACGAAAAAATTATGATTTTTAAAGTTATGGGAAAATTACGAAAAAGTTACGGGTGAATTAGAAAATTATGAGTTTTTCGAAAATGCAAAAATTAAGGAAAAATTGACTTTTTTAAGCAAAATTCATTTTCTTACATTTTATTTTTTTTCTAGAAAACTGGCAATAGGATAATGGGCTCTTTCACTAAAATTTAAATACGTAATTTAAGTATAAAATCTCAAAGGAGGGACTATTTTAGGCATATATACCAAAAAAAAAAAGTTCTACAAGGTTCAATAAGTTTTTCATAGGCAATCAAAAGTGCCTAAATTCAAACTATTTTAAAACGCGCCGATTTGCCGACGTCACATAAATATTCTTCATTTCGCTTATGTCGTTGCAAGGAGGAAGGGCTCGGCTGTGTTTGCGCTCTGTAAAGATACGTAAAGGTTCGAATGCGCTGTTGTCGGTTGTGACTAAATGTAGTGCAGCGTAAAATAAATAAATAAAACTAAACATAAAAAATTGCATTAAATTGTATTTAAGCATAATTTAAAAAAAAAATGTTATAAAATCTTGAATCTATAACTAATTAATTTAACTACTTTTCATGAGATTTTGCCAACATTTCAGAATTAAATCTATTACAAATTTTCAATGTTGACAATTAGTGGCAACACGGTCAAATTGCGAGATGCGACGTCATAGAAATAAATTCTGGGTTTTTATTTGGAGGTATTTCTTTGTTTTCTGTTTTCTCAAGAAGGACTTTGAATTTTTCAAAAGTAAAAATACAGAAAATTCTGTTTTTAGTTGCTTTATCCAAATATGCCAATTTCAAAAATTAGTGAAAGAGCCCAATGTGAAAATTTTCCAGAAAAAAGAGGAAAGTGACGATCTCATTAAAGCAAAATTTCAAACTTTTCCAGTGAAAAATCACTTCAGGAAAAATTCTGGAAAATTGACTTATTTAAGCAAAATTAAGGAAAATTCATCCTCTCACATTTCAATTTATTTCTGGGAAACTAATAAAGCAAAACTTGTGAAATTTTTCCAGGAGAAAGAAGAAAATGAGGAGCTCATTATATAAAAATTTCAAAATTTTCCAGTTTTCCAGAAAAAAGAGGAAAGTGAGGATCTCATTAAAGCAAAATTTCAAAATTTTTCAATAAAAAATCACTCAGGAAAAATTGTGGAAATTTGACATTTAAGCAAAATTAAGGAAAATTCATCCTCTTACATTTTAATTTTTTTCTGGAAAACTAGCAGAGGGAAAATTTTGAAAATTTTCCAGTGAAAAATGACTCAAGGAGAAATATTATTTATATATACTAGTCAAAACGAAATAAAGACCACTTTTAAAAACGCATTTATTTTTAATGAATTTTGAATCACCCTGGTAAAGTGATTATAGTTCCATTCACAATATAATTTTTTTGTGCAAACTTATTGCAAAAGGAAAAATCCACTTTACCAGGGTTATTCACCCCTCAAATTTGGAGCCTAGTTGCGCTTATGATCAAAGTCATGCCAGAGGATAGTGGTATTGTCTGCAAAAATTGTGAATCTACCCTATATAATAATTAGGTGCTAATTAGGGCTTCTAATTAAAAATCAGGTGCTCTTTTAGTTTTTGAGGACTGGTAGGTTTATAAAAGCATGCAGTCCCCTATAATGGAAAATATTTTGAAAATTTTTCTTTTGTGTCAGAATTAGGTGCTTTTAAGGTGCTCCTAGTCGAAGAAAAAATTGAATCGATTAATTATTAAATGAGTTATAATTTTTTTTTTTCATTATTAGGGGATGGCTGGCTTCGCGTTCACTTGATAATGTGTCAGAGGCTAGAATGTTTCTGGATAGGTGCTGTTTAAGTGCTCCTGAAAAGTCAAAGAAAACTTGTTAAGGAAAACCGCGGGTAACGGGCGGGCGCGGGTAATAGGCGGGCGCAAAATTTTAGGTAGAGAGCTGAAATTTCCAGTAAATCTTATCCTAGTAGAGGACTACAAACCCTGGAAATTTTAGCTCATTTGGACTTATAGTATAGTTGCCGAGAAAAAATCGTTTTATGGAAAACTGCAGGTAATGGGCGGAACCGAGGGCGGAATGAAAATTTTAGAGAGCTGAAATTTTCAGTAAATCTTATCCTAGTAGAGGTAGAGGACTACAAACCCTGAAAATGTTTTTGGAAATTAGATTTTTTCCCAAATAACGACACACATTTAGCTCAAATTTGAAGCTGATCAAATCCTCTACAAATTTTCAGAGCAAAAAAAAACAATTTTTTTTTTTTTAAACTTCTTAAATATGGCTGAAAGACTAAGTGTAAAAAAAAAATTGTACCTATTACCTATTAGCCTAAATATTAAATATTTCTGAGGAAATTGGGGTTTTTTAATTTTTCAAAATTCCTCTAAGATATTTTTCGTTTCAGTCGATTTCCTTTTCTAAAGCTTCGATCAGATTTCCCATGCTTTTTGGGAAGAAGTCTCAGAAATCTTATTAAAACTCTTCTTACTGCTCACCAGATTACGAGAATTTTAGATGTGTGAAATTTCTCAAAATGATTAAATTCATGAATTGAAGATCATCTAGGGCTTAATTCTTTATCAAATTTCATTTTTATTTATCTACTTCTAGGATCAAATTGGATTTCCTAATTTATAATTTCTCAATTATTACCAGGCATTGTTTAACTTTTAAAATTATTATTATTTATTTATTTATTTATTTATTTAATATAATACACAACAGAGGAAGCTCCAAAATCCCAACTAAATTAGATTTTCAAATATCAAAAATTATTCTTAAACAAAAAAAAATCTTCTCTCTAGATCTGCAAAAGGTTTCAAATCAGAATGGGCAACAGTTAAAAACGAAATCCTCTATGTTGGCTCGATGGGAAAAGAGTGGACCACAGACACCGGAGATTTCCAAAGCAACGACCCCCAATATGTTAAAGCGGTCACCGCAAAAGGCCAAGTCAGCCATTTGAACTGGATAAAGGAATACAACAGGTTGAGAGAAGCTTTGGGCATTTATTGGCCTGGATACATGATCCACGAAAGTGGCGTTTGGTCAGATGTACACAGAAAATGGTTTTTTTTGCCTCGAAGGTGCAGCAAGGATCAGTATAATGATTCTGCTGATGAAAGGAGAGGATGTAACGTACTATTATCGGCTGATAGCAATATGTATGATGTTAATGTTGTAGAGGTAAGAACTTTTTTTTTTATTGTCCTTTTCAAACAATTGATTTTTTTCTAGCTAAACAATATAAACACAAGAGGCTTTTCCAGTTTCAAATTCATTCCAACATCCAACGATAATGTAATAGTGGCATTGAAAACTGAAGAATTAGAAGGAAAAACGGCCACTTATATTACAGCTTTCACAATCAAAGGGGAAATACTTTTAGAGGATTCTTACGTCTCTGATCTTAAATATGAAGGAATTGAATTTATATAGCATCTCACTTTTTTTAAATTTATTTATTCTACACTTACATCAATGATGCTCAAAAATTGCCAAAAAAACGGGTTTTTAATTATTAAGCGCAAATATTTCAATGTAGATAGTTTCTGTACATATCTTACTTATTAAAAATAAAACACGAAGAGATTTTAAATAATATTGTAGATTATTTATCAGTATTTGAACATTTTTATTTATTATTGAGAAATTGATAGTGCAATTTTGAATAACAAGAAACTGGCATTTTAGCAATGAAAAATTATGAAGGTTGTTGAATGAATGATTATTCCTGTATGTCATAAATCTTATTTGTTAATAAATTTATAGTTTGAAAATGTTTTTCTATTTTGCATTTATTAAGTGATAGCTGGGTAGATTTCACATTTAGAGAGATATTGAGTTCTAATGCCGGTTTTCCACCAAACGGACTGTTGAGTTTGTGTTTTGAAACATGTTTTAAAACAAAAACAGAGAAAAACATACTCGAGTCTGTGTTTGAGTTTCATATTCACCGCTTGCGAATGGGACCCGAAAAACAAAACTCCAACTGTCGCAAAACACGCTAGTCTTGAAAATGTTTGGGAAAAGTAGAGTTTTGTTTTTGTTTTGTCGGTTTGGTGGAAAACCGGCATAAAAATTAAGCAAAATTTTTATAAATAACTTCAAAGTATTTTTTTCTAAAATATAGTCACAACTCTATCCTGTCGTGACGGGGTACGTAGTGTTGGGTCAGGAGAATAGAGACTGGCTTGGTATTTAGAGTAAAGGTTATAATATCTAGTAATTACCAAAGGATGGCCCTATGGTACATAGTGCCTCTTCTATAAGGGCACAGGGAAACTACCTGAAAAATACAAAGGTACGTTAGGTGTGATTCGTTGAAGTGAAGAGTTGTCCAGAGGGGCGTTCCCAAAGGAGCTAATTGCACTGGGTGGAGAAATGAGGCCAGAGGAGCTTTCCCAAAAGAGGTTATTGCGCTGGTTCAAGTCTGCCTGGACCATTTTGTAGTTTTTAAAGCATAGGCGCAACTAGGGGGGGTGCTAAGCACCCCTAAAGCAAAAATTAGCACTCTCATTCGGCATCCCACCATAGCACTACTTACAGTGGCACCACCTAACACTAATATAAAAAATTAATGCAACCAAATTATTTATTTTTCTTGCCCTTTTGTACTTACTTACGTCATCGATGACGTCATAATTTGTTTATTCTATATCTTGAGGTGACATTGAAATACCGGCCCTTTAAAAATCATTGGAGTCCCAAATATATAAATTAATTAACTGCGTATTATACAGGGTGTTCCTAAATATCATGTACAAACGGCAAAGGGTGATTATTTGTTTTTTTTTATGACTGAAATCTCAAATATGTTCTAAAAAATTGACTTATTTAAGCAAAATTAAAAAAAAATTCACCCTCTTACATTTTAATTTTTTTCTGGAAAACTGGCAAAGTTAAAATTTTGAAAATTTTCCAGGAATAAGAGGAAAATAAGGAGCCCATTTTACGAAAATTTCAAAATTTTCCAGTGAAAAATCACTCCAGGAAAAATTTTGAAAAACCACCTTTTTTAAGCAAAATTAAGGAGAATTCACCTTCTTACATTTTAATTTTTGTCTAGAAATCTGGCAAAGAGAAAATTGTGAAATTTTTCCAGAAGAAAGGGAAAAGTAAGGAGCTCATTATAGGAAAATTTCAAAATTTTCCAGTGAAAAATCACTCCAGGAAAAATTCTGAGAAATAGACTTCTAAGTAAAATTAGGGAAAATTCACCCTCTTACATTTTAATTTTTTTCTGGAAAACTGGCAAAGGGAAAATTTTGAAAATTTTCCAGGAATAAGAGGAAAATGAGGAGCTCATTTCACGAAAATTTCAAAATTTTCCAATGAAAAATCACTCCAGGAAAAATTTTGAAAAACTAACTGTTTTTAGCAAAATTAGGGAGAATTCACATTCTTACATTTTAATTTTTTTCTAGAAATCTACCAAAGAGAAAATTGTGAAATTTTTCCAGAAGAAACAAAAAAATGAGGAGCTCAATATAGGAAAATTTCAAAATTTTCCAGTGGAAAATTTCAAAATTTTCCAGTGGAAAATTACTCCAGGAAAAATTCTGGGAAATTGACTTTTTTAGGCAAAATTCATCTCTTAAGTTTTAATTTTTTTCTGGGAAACTGGCAAAAAAAAATTGTGAAAATTTTCCAGAAACAAGAGGTAAGTGAAAAGCTCATTATAGCAAAATTTTCCAATGAAAAATCACTTCACAAAAAATTCTGGAAAAATTGACTTATTTGAGTAAAATTAAGAAAAATTCACCTCTTACATTTTAATTTTTTTCTGGAACACTGGCAGAGGGAAAATCTTTGAACATTTTTCAGGAAAATGAGGAAAGTGAGGAGCTCATTATAAGAAAATTTCAAAATTTTCCAATGGAAAATCGCACCAGGAAAAATTCTAAACAAATTACTTTTTCAAGTAAAACTCATCCTCTTACATTTCAATTTATTTCTGGAAAACTAAAAAAGCAAAACTTGTGAAATTTTTCCAGGAGAAAGAAGAAAATGAGGAGCTTATTATAGGAAACTTTCAAAATTTTCTAGTGAAAAATCACTCCAAGGAAAGTCGCGAGGGAAATTCTGGAAAATTGACTTTTTTAAGCAAACTTAATCCTTTCACATTTCAATTTTTTTCTGGAAAACTGGCAAAGCAAAAATTGTGAAATTTTTCCAAAAGAAAAAGGAAAGTGAGGAGCTCATTATAGGATAATTTCAAAATTTTCCAGTGAAAAATCACTCCAAGAAAAATTTTGAAAAATTGACTTTTTCAAGTAAAATTAAGGAAAATTCACCTCTTACATTTTAATTTTTCTCTGGAAAACTGGCAAAGGGAAAATTTTCCAGGAATAAGAGGAAAATGAGGAGCTCATTTTACGAAAATTTCAAAATTTTCCAGTGAAAAATCACTCCAGGAAAAATGTTGAAAAACTAACTTTTTTAAGCAAAATTAGGGAGAATTCACCCTCTTACATTTTAATTTTTTTCTAGAAATCTACCAAAGAGAAAATTGTGAAATTTTTCCAGAAGAAACAGAAAAATGAGGAGCTCATTATAGAAAAATTTCAAAATTTTCCAGTGGAAAATTACTCCAGGAAAAATTCTGGGAAATTGACTTTTTTAGGTAAAATTCATCTCTTATGTTTTAATTTTTTTCTGGAAAACTGGCAAAAAGAAAATTGTGAAAATTTTCCAGAAAAAAGAGGAAAGTGAAGAGCTCATTATAGCAAAATTTTAAAATTTTCCAATGAAAAATCACTTCACAAAAAATTCTGGAAAATTGACTTATTCAAGTAAAATTAAGAAAAATTCACCTCTTACATTTTAATTTTTTTCTGGAACACTGGCAGAGGGAAATCTTTGAAAATTTTTCAGGAAAAAGAGGAAAGTGAGGAGCTCATTATAAGGAAATTTCGAAATTTCCAGTGAGAAATCACTCCAGGGAAAATTCTGGAAAATTTACTTTTTCAATTCAATTCAACCTCTCACATTTTAATTTTGTTCTGGAAAACTGGCAAAAGAGGAAGAAGAGGAAAGTCAGGAGTTCATTATAAGAAAATTTCAAAATTTTCCAATGGAAAATCGCTCCACGAAAAATTCTAAAAAAATGACTTTTTCAAGTAAAACTCATCCTCTTACATTTCAATTTATTTCTGGAAAACTAATAAAGCAAAACTTGTGAAATTTTTCCATGAGAAAGAAGAAAATGAGGAGCTCATTAGAGGAAAATTTCAAAATTTTCTAGTGAAAAATCACTCCAAGGAAAGTCGCGAGGGAAATTCTGGAAAATTGACTTTTTTAAGCAAAATTCATCCTTTCACATTTCAATTTTTTTCTGGAAAACTGGCAAAGGAAAAATTGTGGAATTTTTCCAGAAGAAAGAGGAACTCAATATAAGAAAATTTCAAAATTTTCTAGTAAAAAATGACTCCAGAAAAAATTGTGGAAAATTGAGTTATTGAAAAATTCACCCTTTCAGATTCAAATTTTTTTTTGTAAAACTGGCAAAGGGATAATTTTGAACATTTTCCAGGAAAAATAGAAAAGTGAGGAACTCATTATAGGGAAATTTCGAAATTTTCCAGTGAAAAATCATTCCAGGAAAAATTCAAAGAAAATTGACTTATTTAGGCAGAATTAAGGAAAATTCATCCTTTTACATTTTAACTTTTTTATGGAAAACTGGCAACGGGAAAATTTTAAAATTTTTATAGGAAAAAGAGGAAAGTGAGGAGCTGATTAGAGGAAAATTTCAAAATTTTCCAGTGAAAAATCACTTCAGGAGAAATTTATTTATATATTTTTGGATAACTCTAAGTTGAAAAATGTATCACAAAACAATAATTCCGAAGGTGCTCTATGAATTAATCTACGACTTAACTTTTTCTCCATATTGTTTGTTTGAAATTTCAGACATAAAAAAAAACCTATTTTTCTAAAAAAAGGCAAATGATGATGTAAGTACAAACCCTCGTGAAACTAACTTTTTTTACGTGTCTCATTTGCCTTCCATCAAACCCCATAAAAAAAAAAATGAAAAATAATTGGTGCTGCAGCACCCCTCAAATTTGGAGCCTAGTTCCGCTTATGTTTTGAAGCAATTTTGATCCAAAAATATGCCTACTAGTATAGGCTTTTTTTTGTATGAATTTCAATTTAGGTCGTAACAATAATGAAAAAAATAAATAAAAACTGGTGAACAATCAACAAAGGCTAAATAATAAAAAGACAAAAGTATTTACCAAAAAAACAAATATTTTATTTTCAACATCCTACATTTTCTCAGCCAATATTTTAGCGCCGGGAATAGTTTGCGACTTGAGCAATTTAACGTGAGGTTTCAATTTAGCTTTAAGGTTCTTCTGCGTAACGTCATTGTTATTCTCAAAAACTGTCACCAGCAAAAAGGAGCTCCTATTGATTTTCAGCCAGTGCTTCAGCTAGAAACAAAAATGCACAATAAAACCAATTTAAAAAAAATAAAATCAAATTACTAACCACTTCATTAGTAAGGGCTTCAACTAGCTGAGCCCCAAATGTAGCATTTCCTTTTTCCGTAGCCACTTTATCATGCTTTGCAAGTTTTTTCAAAGCCATATGAAGACCTGCGTGTTCGATGCCAGCAAATTTTTCTTCGCCTTCCTGAATATTCCAGTCAACATCGATAATGGTTTCTGCTATTTTGCCAAGTGCCTCGGATAAATTATCACCTGAACCAGCTTTTAATATGGCCACCATTTCCATGGCCAGAGAACTGGAGCTCAACCAAAAATTTGGTTCTTCAATAATTAAATTCAATAAAGTGTCAATGGAATAAGCTAAAATTTCTTGTCGTCTTGTTTCAATTGATTTTTTACTGTTAGAAAAATCTCTTCCTGTATCTAATTCTTTTATGAAGTAAGGATGGAAGATTGTTAAATCGGCTGGAGCTACCAGCCACAACAAAACCTTCCTGCCCCATTCAGTAACTGCCAAATCTTTGGCATTTTTTAAAATTTCAGATAAAATAACTTTGTGTAGTAACACAGTATCGTCCACAGAATCTACTAATGTTATAATTGTACGATGTCCAAATTCGTGCTTTGAAAGCTCTATAAGATGTTCTTTTAAGGATTTTATTATTATCTTTTTATCTTTAGCAGTTCCGTGCCAAATACAGTGCATAGCAGCTTTGCTTCCTTCTCTACTATTACTTATAACCACAATATGTGGGGCTAGCTCTGTAATTAATTCCGCTTTGTCTTCGTTTGAGCACTCTTGTAAAAATTGACTCAACACTGTCTGAACCAAACCGGAATCCAATAAGGATTTATTGAGGACTTTTTTGATGTTGCTTTTGCACGCTCCTAGCGTAGCTGCTTTCATATTTTCATTATTAAAATAGACATCTCTAATATGCTTTACTTTAGGATCTTTGGAATTTTTGTAGAGATCTCCATAAAACTCCTGCACCAATAATTGTTTTTGCTCGGGAGTTGCATAAGTAGAAAAGGCATATTCCAGCACGGGAGCACTTATAGTATGGCTAGCTAATTTAACTGCGTGTCCTTTCATTTGGTCAATAACTGCAGCCCTAACGTCATCTTCTCCACATTTTAGGATTCGTTTTACACAATGAATTCCGTACTTGGACTGTAACATGCCTACAGTGACCGGAATTAGTTCCTGCGATATTTGATGTACGAGAATTTTGCTTGAATATTTCAACAGCCACTGTACAATTCTTGCAGTGTCGTGGGCCACAACAAACTTTGAATAGTTGCCTTTTATCAAACCGTGCAATTGGTTTATAACTTTAATTCTGTCGGCTTCCTTAAGAGTTTTTAGTCTGACTTTCTCGCCCATTTTTTTTGCTTCTTGAATTCTATCAAAGTTATCTTTAGTTCTTGCCTTGATTCGTTTGACTCTCAATTCCTTTTTTTCTGCTTTATATTTCTTCCAGTCTTCGATTTTATCTGTGATTTTTATTTCTGGTTTGCCTTGGAATTTTTTGTGTTTGAAACCTTTGGCATTTATCGTGTCGCCTTGTTTGCTAGTTTTATTGAATTTACCTTCGCCTTTAGCCTTTTTAAACGATTTCATAGGTTTCTGTGTTTCATCAGATGGGGCGATTTCCGCCTGCGTTACTTCTTCTTCGGACTTTTTACGCTTCACCGACTTCACTTTTTTCTCGGAGGTTTCTGCAGCTTCCGCTGGTGCTGGGTTTTTCTTCGTTTTTGCCATTTTAGCTAAATTTAACGAAAAACGAAATACAAATTTGCGTCTGGGTTTACGAAAATGTGCCAAAGAAATAGGGTTATGTTTATTTGTCAAATAATTCAAATGTCAAGTGCCAATACCTTAACCCTTTTCACGTGGCTCCGGTTTAACAAACCGCTCAAATTCGAGTGGTATTAGGTATCCATCACGTCACTTTGTAACCGGGTTAGAGGGAATTTTTTAGACTAAGCATGCGCAGGCGTGAAATGTGGAAACTGCCAAGCTTGTTGTGTTATCACGTTGTGGTTGATAAAAAAATTAAAAATCGTTTATGTGTGGATGTAGGAATTGGTAAAATCACTGAGTAAAATAATTGATCTGATTTTAAAATTTATTAAACATAATGAAAAAATTTCCTTGACAAAGTTAAACATAGGCAAAAGCATCATATTATTCATTATTGTGGAGGAATTGAAGTTAATTTATAGTACACGAAAGACCAAAGACAAAAGTGAAAAAAAATTTGGAAAATAAAGACACGGTTGACTGTTGTTTTGAAACAAAACAAATCAACTATTTGACATTTTTGCTCCGACCGTTCCGGTCGTTCGTGTATTAATTTTTAACTCTAATCACTCCTAGATCACGTGACAAAAATCTATTCTTACTCCACTCCAAATCCGTGCTGAATAGCCGAACCCAGCTGCTGTATTAAAGCAAGGTTCCTAAAGTTAATAGGTTGTCTGGAAATGGATAACTTAATGACGCATCTGGGATGCCTGGAGATTTGCATTATGTTTAGGTACACAGATGACGTCATAAAAGTTATCAGACAACCTACCTCTCTCAAACAACCTTGGTATCAAAGTGCCAGAGAATTGGTAAATTTCAATAAACGAACGCGAATAAGCTTGCACCGAGTACACTTTTTAAATAAACGACCGGTAAATTCAAGCTCGGAGAACTCGGATCAAAATACCGAACGCACGGATAGTGGTTGTTTCAAGCGTTCTAGAACCAAAAACCGCTCTTCGGAGTATCAAATTTATCTGATTTTTTTTTGTTCCGTGTCTCCCAATCTGTCTCTATATTTACCAGTGTCTCCGGGTAAGCTTTGACGCACTCTTTACTCTAGAACAGGTGACAAAAACTGCTCCGACTTCACACTACTCTGGCCAATCTGACACAACCATAACCTCAATGTATCCAAACCAAAACAATGAAGAAACGAGTTCTTTGTGACTAAAAATTAAAAAAATTATTAATTGGTTTATTTTACTATCAATCAATAAATTATAGTTATTTCTAAATTACTGGTATGAGCTTCATTACAGTAGCGAGTGGGGAATATTGCTAGGAGATCGTAGACTGAGTCGAACCGTAAGTACCTGTAATATAATGGTATATTATTATAGTAAGTAGTAACTAGGTTATTACCGCACGCGAGAGAAATTGGGGCTCTGCTTGCAAACGTATCATGTTTCCTACTTGGGGCACCAGGGGGCACCCCATTGTATATACCCCTTACCTCGGCATGCGGAGCTCTGTCGGGGCGGACATTCATTCTCCAGCTACTCGTGGGACAAGCATAGACAAGAGTATGAACAAACATACAAAAACACGGAGACAATCCTCCGGAAACAACAAGGTGGAAGCTTCTTCCACCTCAAAGGAAACGGGCACCGACACCAAGGCAAAGCCTCGATTGAGGCTTCCGTTTCCTCTCCCAGAACTGGGAAAACCCGGAGGAAGAGACGATCCGCTGAGGCAAGGACTCAGCGGAGCAGGTTCCAGGAAATACCTACGACTTCTTCACGAGGGCATGGCACCTGAGGAAGCGAGGAGAAAAGTCCTAGGAGAAAAGAAGAAGAGAGACGAAGAAACTCCTTCAACGGCATCACCGAGAAAAAACCCCCAAGGCAAAAGAGTTAGTGAATTTATTTCACCCCCTCAAAGAACGGGAGGAAAAAAACTGAAAACTGGGAATGAAATGAACAAATCAAATCAAATCAAAATATGCTTTATTGTCGTAAAAAAATAAATCCATTGACAAAGCCAGTAATTCCTAAACCTAAACTTTCAAAATAAAAATAGCATAACATTAAACGAGGTAGGGATATATAGAGTTATACAGATGAAACCGAAAATGAATGAAATGAAATGAAAAAAAATGAACACCAGAAAACGAGTAGACCGGCGGGCATAGCAGGGCAAGTCACCAGCTACGCCCAAGCTGCGAAACTCAATAGAATCAGGATATTACCTAAGGAATACCCTCAGGTAATGCTTGGCCCCGAACAACTGATGGCGCTGGAGGAGGCCGCAGTTGCAGAAATGATGGGAAGCACAGCCAGGGGCTTGCGGTTCTCTGGTATACATTTCCGCTCGGGAATGGTATTGGTGGACTGCGAATCTGAGCAGACAGCCGAATGGCTGGTTCAGATGTCACCCAGACTGAAAGCATGGAAGGGGCCTGAACTTGTTGCACGGAGAGGAGACGACATCCCCAAGTCCCATACGATCAGTATCTTCCTCCCAAGGAGCAAAGGGCAAGACACCAAAGCTCTTCTGAGACTCATTGAAGTCCAGAACGCGGAACTCTCCACAAATACGTGGCGAGTTATGAACGCGGAAGAACAAGGCCACGGCCAAGTCCTTACAATTGGGATCGATACCAAAAGTAAGGAAGCTATCAAGGCCAAGGGACACTCCATCCACTACCGGTTTGGGCAAGTCCCGGTATCTGGCCTTAAGAAGCGAGAAGAAGAAAAGGAAGAGATAATAGACTTTGAACCAACAGCCTCGACCTCCTCTTCTCTGTTGGAGAACACCCTCACCGATGAGACTGCATCAAAGTAGAGATGTAAAAAATCGGTTTTTTTTTCAGATTTGAAAAAAAAAACCGTTTTTTTGTTTTTTTTTCTAAATGATTCAAATGTAAAAAAGCATTTTTTTTTCAGATTTGAAAAAAAAAACATGAAAAAAAAACAAGTTTTTGTTTTTTTTCAAAAAAATTCATTTTTAAACTTCGTGAGTATCTCCTCATCTTTAAGTAAAAAAAACGGACATTTGACGACCCTGGAGACGTAGTTACAGTCTGAAAATTCTTCATACAGCGAAAGTGTCTTATATCAGTGATGTTCTGTTCTAGTATGTATGTTGTATGAATATGATGAATGTGTGATCTGATATAATATGATAGTTCATACATGGATGTACCATGTACCTGACCTGAAAACATATTTCATTTACATAAGAATAGGTCTGTTTCTGCAGAAATCACAAACCAGTCAGAGTGAATTTCATTGGTTGAAATTAGTTTTCTGACTGTTTCTGACTGTTTTCAACCAATGAAATTCGCTCTGACTGGTTTGTGATTTCTGCAGAAACAGACCCAATATTAATCCTATGTGGTTTAAAGTCAACCCCTATTTTCTGAACCTTGTGTTCAAAAATTCCAAAAAAAATATATGTTTTATGGTTATCGATATACTTTAATCCATAATTTTTTTAAGTAAATTTGACTCGCCATTTTTGAGTTATATCGCAAAAACTGAAAAGTAGTTTTTCACCATTTATTTCAAAACGAATAGATGAAGTTTCCCATTATTTTTATTACGAACTACTATTGCAATTCTACGCGACATATATATTTTTCAAATTTTTTGAACGTGTAGTTTTCTCGCTACTGCAAAAATAGTTGGAAATACGCCCGTAGCTACACTGTTTAGAAAAAAATCCGACGGATGAATTTTCAAAATTATTTGCGTTGGTCGAAACTACAACCCTGTTTATGTAAAACAGAATAATACTTCGAATTTCCGCCAAAAAAAGAAAAAACGTTCCATCACATAATTTAACCAAATGCAGATTTCTATTTTTTTTTGACAGTCAAGTTAGGGCACACTATAGGGGCGACAGCATTGACATCTCGCGTTGCTGTAATAAACTATAGGCCTGACTTTAAACCTTAAACCAATTTTTTGTCCCAAGAAAAGTTTAATTGGCAAAAAAAGTAAAAAATGCGTATATGGTGCTGAGTTTAGAAAAAAAAACAAAATCTGAAAAAAAACCATTTTACATCACGTTACATCTCTACATCAAAGGGAATTGAGGGGCAAGAGACCGAGGGCTTAAGCCTCGAATCTCTTAAAGTCAACTCTTCTTCTGAGGATTAGGTCATCAGCAAGGAAGATGAAGAGAAGCTTCTGGCGGATCAGAGGAACAGCAGAGGGAAGGACAGGATAGTCCAAACAGACCACCTGCTGATCCCTCCTCCCATTACTAGAACATTCACCAGATTAGCGCAAATCAATCTGCAACACAAACGGGCATCCTCCGATGTGATTGTACGAATGTTCGCTAACCAAGATCTGGGACTAGTTATGATCCAAGAACCCTGGATCAATAGAGGGCGAATCAAAGGTTTGTCAAGCAAACTTGCAAAAGTAATATACGAGAACAGGCAGGAATCACCCAGAGCCTGTATTCTTATAAAAAATGACATGGGACTTGACACCCATTGTCTTACAACTCGACATTTGGGTCTGCAACCGCAACATAGTAATTACTTCAGCATACTTTCCTGGAGATGGGCTAACGACACCACCGCCGGAGGTACAAGAGCTGATCCAATATTGCAGAAGAGAGCGCCTGCCACTACTTTTAGGCTGCGACGCAAATGCACATCATGTTATCTGGGGAAGCACGGATATCAACTATAGAGGTGAGTGTTTACTTGAATTTCTTATGACTACCGACCTTGAGGTCTTGAATATTGGTACTATGCCTACATTCGTGACTAGAACAAGGTCGGAAGTATTAGATATAACTTTAGTCAGCTCCAGTATTAGAGACCTCATCAAAAACTGGAGAGTATCAACCGAACCATCCCTGTCAGATCACAGGATAATTGAGTTGAACCTAGAGAATGTAAAATACAATAGACCCATACGAAGGGTACCGAGAAAAAACAATTGGGAAGCCTACAAAACCAATTTACAGAACAACCTTCACTGCTTAAGTTCAGGTGGGAAAAGACACCACATGGAACTGGAGCAGAACACTAAGGAAGTCACAAAGGCAATTATGGAAGCCTTTGAGTCCAGTTGCCCAGTGACTACAGCGAGATAACCGAAGAAGGAGGACTGGGAAGCTGCAAAGAGGGTTTTTACTGCGGAACGGATGAAATGGGCAATAAGTACCTTTCAACCGTTTAAGTCACCAGGAGTGGACGGAATATTCCCTGCCCTTTTACAAAAACGGCAAAAGGAAATATTCCCTCACCTACTTAGAATAGCTAGGACTAGTTTAGCCCCGGGATATATACCTAGTATGTGGCGACGAGCTAAAGTAACCTTCATACCCAAAATAGGAAAAAAGGATGGGACAAACCCTAAATCTTTTCGACCTATTAGTCTGTAGATAACTACATCAGAAAGGAAATTTTGGAGAAGGCACCTCTACACCCTTAAGGAAAAAGAAACAGCCATATGTGCCTTCCTGGATATATCCGGGGCTTTTGATAACACATCCCATGGGGCGGTAAAAATTGCTCTGGAAAGGAGAGGAGTGAATAAAACCATAGTCCGGTGGGTCTGTGAAATGCTGACTACGAGAACAGCTGAGACAACTGTGGGTGAACAAACCACAAACATCAGAACCATTCGTGGTACACCTCAAGCGGGAGTAACCTCACCCCTGTTGTGGAGCCAGGTAGTTGATGAACTCCTGTCCAGATTGACAAATCAGGGTCTAACTTGTATAGGTTACGCCGATGATATTGTCATTATCGCCAAAGGCAAGTTTGAGGGCACACTATACGACCTCATACAAAAAGGCCTAAGAACTACCGAAGAAATGTGCACATCGGTGGGGCTGAGCATCAACTCAGCAAAAACCACTATTGTACCATTTACACGTAGAAGGAAAATTCAACTTACTAGGGAAATTCACCTAAGTGGAGAGGTTGTAAATCAAGCAAACGAAGTCAAATATCTGGGTGTAACACTGGATTGTAAACTTATATGGAAAAAACACCTAAAAGCCATTCTTAACAAAGCTACTGAAGCCATTATGGTGTGCAGAAACTTGGCGGGTAAAAACTGGGGATGTACACCAAAAATACTGCGGTGGATGTACATTATGATGGTGAAACCCATAATCACATATGGGGCAGCAGTTTGGTATGGCATAGCAGAACAAAGCACTACAAGGCGAGCACTTGATAAATTGCAAAGACTGGCAAGTGTATGTATTACAGGAGCCATGAGAACATGTCCAGCAGCAGCGTTGAACGTCATACTTGACCTCACACCTTTGCACTTGTCGGTGAAGGGAGCTGCAGGAAGGGCTATGTTTAGACTAGCTAGAAATAGGACTGAGGCTAAGGAAATCATCGATCAAGGAGCATGGTCATCCCAAACACGGTGTATTCCCTTATTCGATCTTCCTAAAGACGATATAACCAAAGAATACCACTTTGAAAGAAACTTCCTCACAAGGATTGATAATAAAAGCGACTGGGAAAGCGGCAAGATCACCGAATCTCTCAAAGAAAACACCATTAAATGGTACACAGACGGTTCCAAAACTGACAAAGGATCAGGAGCTGGAGTATTTGGGCCTCGCACCAAATTTTTTGAGTCACTGGGTAAATTCACCAGTGTCTTTCAGGCGGAAATACACGCCATTGACAGATGTGCTCAAATGATCCTGAACAGGAACTATCTCAAGCAGGATATTGCAATATTCACTTTTTCCAACTTTGACACCCTGGTATCTCGAAAACTAAGCATGTTTCTATTAACTTTTTTCTTATTTTAATGAGTACTTTTTATCCTGAAAATTTGATCCCACTATTCAGAAACACCCTGTTCAGAAACACATGTTTATAAGCAATGCACGGAATAACAACAAATCTATATATAGATAAATCCCACGAGGTATTTATCAGTTTTACAAAAATTGTTTGGTTTTGGTTAGTTAATCAACTGATAAAGGAACTATAAATTACTTATGTGATAAAGTAAAATATTAATAAATATTAGCCTTTCTTTTAGTGTGCCTACTAGGATATATCATTTAAAAATAAGAAAACATGGGAGATAACGGTGAAACAGCAAAAGATCACCCAGAACATCCTAGAAAATTAATTCCTCAATTATGCCAGCAGTTTTACAAGTTGGGATGGGTTACAGGAACAGGTAAAAATATTGTTTTATACAAGAGGTAATGCAAACAATTCCTCAAACTACCCGTAAATTCCTCACAAATTCCTCCAAATTCACTGAAAACTCCTTCAAACTGCAAATGCCTGTTACAAATTCCTTAAAATTGTTCGGGATAAGAAATGTATTTTTCTATTTTTATTACGCTCAGTGTTAAAACCAATAACTTCCACCAATTTCTCATACATTCCTCCAATTTCCCTTTGAAACCTATGTCAAGAAATGTTGTGTTAAATGAATGTATTTATTATTTTTGTAATTATTGCCTACAGTCATTTTAATTTGATTGATATTGTGACTTGCTGGCTTCTAGGTTTAGTTGTAAAATTTAATTTAAGTTAGGTTAGCTTTGTCAATAAGATTTTTGTATTCTTGGACAATAAAGCATATTTACTACTACTACTACTACATAAATTCTTTTGGATTTCTGACAAATACCTAAATTCCTCTAAATTCCCCACCGTTTTGGTAAAGAATTCCTAGGTGGCTTGCCCCTTGAATTTTTCCCTAAAAGATTTACATAGTAGCAGACTAATGCAATAAAGACTAAATATTAAGAAAATTGTAAACTTGCCTTAAATTAATGCTTTTATAACAATCAATAATTGTCTAAACAATTATTCATAAATTTATTGTAACAAACTAATTAACAATAAAAGAAAACATTGTGTTCTGAATATAGGCGGAGGTATCAGCATCAAAGACGGTCCCAAAATCTACATCGCACCGTCCGGAGTGCAAAAGGAGCGAATCAAACCTGAAGATTTATTCGTCCAAAACATAGAAGGAAAAGACTTGGAGCTGCCCCCGCCTGCCAAAAAACTGAAAAAGAGCCAATGCACGCCCCTATTTATGTGCGCCTACACGATGAGAAATGCAGGAGCCGTAATTCACACTCATTCGAAATACGCTTTGATGGTCACCATGTTATTTCCTGGCAAAGAATTCAAGTGCACCCACTTGGAAATGATTAAGGGTATCAAAAACCAGAAATTGGGCAGGAATTTTCGTTACGACGAAGAACTGGTTGTTCCTATAATCGAAAATACACCTTTTGAAGAAGATCTGACTGATAGATTGGAACAAGCAATCAAAGATTATCCCCACACTTGTGCAGTTTTAGTACGGAGGCACGGAGTAAGAATTTGGATTTTTATATGTCAAAATTGCATTGCTAATTGATTTTTTTTTATGTAGATTTATGTTTGGGGTGACACGTGGCAACAAGCTAAATGCATGACCGAATGCTACGACTATTTATTCGATATTATTTTACAATTCAAACAACACGGAATCGATCCCGCTCTTACTCCGGAACAATACGAGCTTAAGCATCAGGAAAATCTCAAAAAAATATTAGATAAGTAAATTTTTTATTCAAATAACAAAACAGCTACAATAAAGAAAGAAGAATGGAAAGTGGATTGTTGTATTTTTATTTTAGAAAATAAATATTTCAGGTGAATTTCCATATAACCAAGATACAGCGTAATGAAATGTGAGGAATGATTTATTGAGTGAATTGAATATAGTAACAGTAATTTAACTTTTAAAAGTTTTATATACTTAAGACATCAATGAATTTTTTTGATACTTTGTAAACTTTACAAAATAATGGAACATCTAGATAGTAACATTCATTAAAATAGAAAAGAGTTTTTTTTTTCAACATAAACCTGCAACAAGATGCATATTTACTCAATTTAATGAATACTATCTATTAACATTATAACAATATATCTATTTTGTTTAGAGCTCCAATAACTTTTCAAAAAAGCAAATCAATCAGTATATTTTCTAATCTATTGAAATGCTGTGTTCTAAATGCAATAAATCGAACTACAACCTTTTTGCTTATTCACATAAGTATATAGGAACCAAATAAAAAATCACCTGTAACTTTAAAACATGCCCATCGAAGTGGATTTTTCATAAAATAATAAATAGGCTGTACTTTGTAATACCTCGTCTACCGAAACTTCTTTTATTTCGATGTCCGATGTGTAAAACCACCTATGAAAAAAAGTTAAACAAAACTTAATATATGAAATCTGTAACTTACCGATTATTTTGATGGCCCCTTCGGTAAGTTATAAAATGGCCGGAATGTGCGTCACCAGTGTGAACCACAACGGCCGCCAATTGATATACGTTTCTGAGTTCATTGGTCATTTCGCTTAAAGAATTACCCGTCCAACATAAGGGGGTACTGCTAGAGAGAGGACTGCCACCTTCACTTGTACTTGTATAAGTCTTAAAAAGACAATAATATTTAGTGAAAAGTGCTTTTTAATTACTTTATATTTACCCCAGGTATTTTTCTTTGGTAATGAGCTTGAATAAAAGTATAAGCGGACATGGAAAGCCTCATCGGAAACTGTATATAATCTTGCCGTTTCGACATTCCACTGGGCGACCAAATGTTTCTCGATATGTGTAAACATAAACAAATTGGCAACTGAAAATAATGTTGTTTGAAAAAATTGGCAACGCACCCAAACACAATACTTACTTTGCCAAAATTAAGTATCTTTATCTGTCTAGATAAAATAGGCGCAGACGCTGGATCTCGGTCTCTATTACAGCCCTCGCATTGCACATCCTGGATCACTTCGGGTGTTACGAAATTCGTCAGGAGCTGGTGCAGTTTGTGTCTGCCCCAGCCCAAGTCACCGGCGCCACTTGGAAGGGGCAGCGAGAGACTATCGAACTTGTCGTATCTTACTGTGGACTGAAAAATAATTGCTGAATTGTTGGCAGTACAATAATCATTAATAATTTTTGTCTATTCCAGGCTCTTGAAACTCATACCTTTTCAACCCTGGTTAGAAACAATTCGAATTTTGAAATACAAAGATTCTAGGCAAGACTTTTTCAATAAACTTTTGATCATTATGTCCAAAATGCTCTTTATGCAATGATTTTTTTGTTGGTAATATTTATTTAAAATAAATAATGTTATCAAAATTCAAAATACCTTGTGACCACATTCACTGCAACGCAGTTGACTAGTTAGGGTGCCTGTAAAAGGCTGTCCTGCAGGCTGAGGCGGGGGTCCAGACATTTGCAAGGCTCTACAGGATCTATTTAAGACATTTATTAGTATTAAAATTTATTGGAAAAAAATATTAAATTCTACCTATTCTATAAATGCACTTGTTACATTGAAAAATCCTACCTAGAAATCCATCTGTTTCTCCTAATACCCGAACTCCTAAAACTCAAAGCCCCAGTAGACCGGCAAAGTTCGTTCAAAGACATCACGCTGCCCATCGAACTATATTCGGACTCGTTATCGTCGACATCGTCTATTTCGTTCATACCCAAAGCGTCCGACAGACAGCCAGCCTTCCTGCTCATTTTCTGGGTTTCCTCGTCCAAGGTAGTTAAAATTACGTTCAACAATTCGTGAGCGTCCTGTTCACCAGCTGGTATGACCCATCCCAACCGTTTTAGAGCGTTTATCACTGCGGCGGGAGCGAAACTGTCCTGTACTGATTTGTTTGTGCCATTCACAACTGTAATAATAGAATTATAAATCAGATAGGTAATGGTTGATGTGGATAGAGTTTTACTCTATATTGTTTTTAATAAACGCTGTAATTTCTACTTTAGCGTATTTTTATTAATAATTCTCGAAATAGTTCTTGAACAGAACTACTTGACAATCTTATACTTTCAACGCCTTGTCCCAATAATTATAAAAAAATAAATAAATTAAATTCCTGCATTACAAAATAAACACAATTGTTTGGTCCATATCGCTGGTTGTGTCTTTCAATGAAATTTACCATTGGAGTCATTGCACTTTTCATGTTAAATCTTTCTAGAATCGTATCAGTAATTTTCTTGATCAAGTGTCGTCCAATTTTCATCTTTTATATCCAGAAAAGTTTTTACATTGTCAAATTTCAAAGTTTGTTTTCAATTTATTTAACAATCTATCTGTTTCTACTTTATTTTTGTTATAGGTCCAGCATCATCTACATAGATGGCCAAAAACAGTGTACCACTCTTGTTTTCAAATACCTATACACACCGGAAACTTTTTTTTATATAGTAGAGATTGGAAATGCGTTATGCACCCCTAGAGCATTGGCGATCGGGCGCCCTAGGGAGTGAGACTCGCACCAACTAAAACCCTTCCCCTACTCTTCACAGGATACCTTCTTCCAGAATCAACATTTGGCATTACTTCAGAAGGAGCTGCGGTATTCTGATTCATCTGTGTCTATTTTATGTTAGTTTCTTTGTTTTTTATTTTCTTCCTCGCTTGTCACTCTTGTCAGTGTGTTTTCGTCCTCTTGCAGGATTGATCTGGCAAGTAAATTCACAGCATTCCAGTTTTCCAGGCTGCTGACCATTTTTGCAGTTATATTCTCTGGGGTCATTGTCAACGTTTGTGCTGTGCATGTCATGCGTTGTGTTTTCCAATTTTTGCAATTAGAAGGTATGTTCGGCATTATACAGGGTGGGCCACTGAAAACTTACAATGGCTATAATTTTTGAACCAAAAAAGATATCAAAAAAATAAAAAATACGGTTTTTATAAAATCAAGGCGGAATACACATGACATATTTTTCAAACCACCCCGACCTACCCTTAGGCGCTACCCCTACTCGCTTCAAAATCTTTAATGGCAACACCGCACTTGTGGCACCTTTTTGGAAAGCTCATGAAAAATGCTAAACGATGGTCATAAAATTTTTAGGGTGACCTTGGAAAACTACCCGTCAAATGAAAAAAATTGATAGAAATAAATTTTACAAAAAAAAAGAATTTTTAGCATGAAATTAGAGATAGGAAATTGAAGCGACCCAATTCAAATTACGTATTTTTCAAACCACTGCGACCCACCCCTAGGAGCCACCCTCACTCATTTGAAATTCTAAGATTGCGGTACCCCACTTGTGGCACCTCTATGGAAAGCTATTTGAAAATGCTAAACGATGGTCATAAGGATTTTAACCTAAGAAAATTACGGCTAAGTAGAGATTAAGAAATGTAGGTGTGACATTTTGAAAAATAGGAACCAAATTAAAAATGATCTAGATAATTTATTTTAACAATTGCTCAAAATGGCAGCCGTTTTGTTCCATACAAAAATACAAACGACTTTCAAATTCTTCTCTCACTTTCTGGAACATCTCTCTCGGATTGTTTCGACATGCCTCAATTATCCTCTGCCGCAATTCTTGCAACGAAGCTGGTTTTGTCTTGTAGACTATGGATTTAATGTAACCCCACAAAAAGAAGTCTAAAGGAGTGAGGTCAGGTGACCTTGGCAGCTACTCGATTGGACCCCTTCTGCCAATCCATTGCCTTGGATAAAATCTATCTAACCACCGCCTTGTGACAATAGCATAATGCGGAGGGGCTCCATCTTGAAGAAAGTGTATGATGTCTTCATCATTATTTTATCGCCCAGTATTCCGCACCAAACATTGAGCTTTTGGGGATTTTGGGTATGTCCTTCAACAACAATATGGGGATTCTCATCGCTCCAGTATCTGCAGTTCTGTTTATTCACATTTCCATTTAGCAAAAACGAGCACTCATCACTAAAACAAACAATTTTAGTGAGTGAAGGTTGCCTTCGAATTTCCTCCGTCATTAGTTCGCAGAACTGAATCCTTCTATCTGGATCATCGTCGCCAAGTTCCTGCAGAATTTTCATTTTGTAGGGGTGGAATTTGTGCATTGTTAATACTCTTCTGACAGATGTTCGGGGTATGCCTGTTATTGATGCCAACTGGCGCGTTGATGCTTCTGGATTGACCGACACCTGACCAATAACTTCGATTTGCATTTCTTCATTCAGTACCCTGGGCCCTACCCTTTTTTGATTTTTGACCGATCCCGTTCGTTGAAACTTTTGGATCAAATCCCTAACATAAACGTGACTAACGTTTCTGTCCGGATTTCTCTCATTGAAAGCACGGGCTGTTCTCAAATAGCACCTACCTTCAGCACCATAAAGAAAAACTATTTCAATTCTTTCTTCCACACTATAAACCATTTTTCGAAGTTTTAACTAAGTAAATTAAATAAAGGTAGAAACTATCGTCACTAAATTTGCAAAATAATGACTTGAAAAATGATAGAAGACTGTGGGTCGGGTTGCTATAGAAAAGTAAACAAATAGCTGATAAGGAAGAATTTGCGTTACCGCAACTTCTTATTTGTGGATTGGTGGAAAATGTTAAAATAAATTATCCAGATCATTTTTAATTTGGTTCCTATTTTTCATAATGTCACACCTACATTTCTTAATCACTACTTAGCCGTAATTTAATTTAGGTTGAAATCCTTGTGACCATCGTTTAGCATTTTCAATTAGCTTTCCATAGAGGTGCCACAAGTAGGGTACCGCAATCTTAGAATATGAAATGAGTGGGGGTGGCGCCTAGGGGTGGGTCGCAGTGATTTGAAAAATACGTAATTTGAATTTAGCTGGGTCGCTTCAATTTCCTATCTCAAATTGCATGCTAAAAATTCTTTTTTTTTGTAAAATTTATTTCTACCAATTTTTTTCATTTGACGGGTAGTTTTCCAATGTCACCCTAAAAATTTTATGACCATCGTTTAGCATTTTTCATGAGCTTTCGAAAAAGGTGCCACAAGTGGGGTGTTGCCATTAAAGAGTTTGAAGCGAGTAGGGGTGGCGCCTAAGGGGTAGGTCGGGGTGGTTTGAAAAATATGTCATATGTATTCCGCCTTGATTTTATAAAAACCGTATTTTTTATTTTTTTGATATCTTTTTTGGTTCAAAAATTATAGCCATTGTAAGTTTTCAGTGGCCCACCCTGTATATAGTGATACGTGTTGCCGTGTCGTCTGTTTATCCACTCTGAGATGTTTGGGATTACTCTGAACGTCCACCTTCCTTTCCCGCTATTTTCCCATCTGTTCTGTGGTGCTTAATATAGTTGATAGTTGGATCGCTTGGGCTTCCAGAAGGTCGATTGGTGGTGTTTCAACTATCACCAGGATGGCATCTGTCGATGCTGTGCAATAACCGCTACGTATTCTTAGCGCAGCTTGTCTCTGTATGTTTTCCAGCATGCCTCGGTATTTTCTGTGCCTTATAACTTCTCCCCAGACTGGGGCCGCGTATAGCAGAATAATAATAATAATAATAATAAATCCTTTATTTCAAAAATTGCTTACATAGTAATACAAAGTGAAACGTCGTCACACAAAAAATAAATTATATCTAGCTTATATTATATCCCCATTATAAAATTCCAATAAATTATAAAGCTCCAAGTCTGTTAAAAGTTTTCTCACTTTTTTCTTAAAGAGTTTCTGTTGTTCAATTCTCTTAAAACTATCGGGAAGCCCTTTACCTATACAATCTAAGGCACATGTGGTGTGGACATTTTTCTGTTTAAGGTAATCTATGTATAGGATATCTAACATCTAAATTTCGAGTGTTATAACCGTGACTAATGTGGTCTGAAAACAGTTCTCTATTTTTAAAATAAAACATTAAACTCGACATTAAACATTCGTATACAGGGTCCCAACTATTTCATAGGGACAGTATTGCTATCTCGGGATCGGTTAAAGTTACGAGAGCGTTTAAATTAGAAAAAAGTTGTCATTTTTGAAGAATATTAGAAAAATATTTTCGTTGTTGCCAAATTTCTATTAGTTTCGCCAGAACAGGGTGATTTGTGAAAATTTGCAAAAACAATTTTATCAAATATTTTAAAATCTATGGATTTTAGAGACATAGTTCAAATGCAATATACAGCGTATACAGTCATTAAACCTAAATCCCATGAATACACCCCTACAACACTGTAAATATTTAATTCTTTTAATAATTCTAACCACACGTTTCTGAGCGACAAAAGCATCCTGTATCCCAATATCCCCTCCCCAAAACATAATACCCTATTTTAACACTGCCTCAAAGTTGGCAAAATATATTATTCTTAGTGTATTTTCATTCATGTATTTGGCAACAGCTCTTATTCCAAAGCTCACTGAGTTTAGTTTTTTTATTAAAATGTCTAAATGCCTTGACCAATCCAAAAACTCATTGATATTGACACCTAAAAACATTGTGCTTTCAGAAATATTTAAATTTTTGTCATCAGTTTGTAACTGGCTTGGTTTAATTATGTTCGATCTTTTTGTTCTAAACATTATTATATTAGTTTTCTCTTGATTAAGAATTAACCTGTTTTGATGAAACCAATTTGTGAAAGGAAATCTTTTGCTTCCAAAATCAAGTCATCAATTTTTTTACAGCCAATTAAAAGGTTTGTGTCATCTGCATAATTTATGATATTGGTATTTCGCATTAATTGAGATATGTCGTTTAAAAATATAATGAAAAGGATGGGACCCAGAATGCTTCCTTGCGTTATCCCTATATTATTCTCTAACACTTCCGACCTACTGGTTTTGCCTGCTTTTGTAAAAGTTACAATTTGTTTTCTGTTGGTTAAATATGATTTAATCCACTTATTGGCATTACCTTTAACCCCATACATTTCTAATTTG